ATCTAGTCGTTTCTTCAGTAGTCGGGAATTCTTCAGTGGTTGTTATTGGAACCATAGTTGTTGTTACCGCTGTTACTTCTGAAGTCGCCGCCAGTGTTGTTTCTTCTGTGGGGGTGGTAAGAAATGTGGTCGTTTCTTCAGTAGACGTGGATACTTCGGTGGTTGTTACTGGAACCATAGTTGTTGTTACCGCTGTTACTTCTGAAGTCGTCTCCAGTGTTGTTTCTTCAGTGGGTGTGGTAAGAAAGGTAGTCGTTTCCTCAGTAGTCGTGAGTACTTCAGTGGTTGTTATTGGAACCATAGGTGTAGTTACAGTTGTTACTTCTACACTCGTTCCCAGTGTTGTTTCTTCAGTACGGGTGGTAAGAAGTATAGTAGTTTGTTCAGTCGTCGTGGGTACTTCACTGGTTGTTGTTAGAAACATAGGTCTAGTTATAGTTGTTACTTCTAAACTCGTCTCCAGTGTTGTTTCTTCAGTGGGTCTTGTAAGAAATGTAGTCGTTTCCTCAGTAGTCGTGGGTACTTCAGTGGTTGTTGTTAGAAACATAGTTGTAGTTACAGTTGTTACTTCTAAATTCATCTCCAGTGTTGCTTCTTCAGTGGGTGTGGTAATAAATGTAGTCGTTTCCTCAGTAGTCGTGAGTACTTCAGTGGTTGTTATTGGAACCATAATTGATGCTATTGTTGATACTTCTATGGACGCGTGCTTCGTTGTTTTTTCAAGTGGCGTGGTGACAACGGTAATCGTTTCTTCTGTAGACTTAAGTGCGGCGCTAGTTGTTGCCCGTAACATCGTTGCTGTTATTATTTCTGTAGTAGTGTTCTTTATTGCTGTTTCAGTTGTTTCTGTGGTTACTATTACTACTTCGGTTGTAGTAAGTTCAGTGGTTGATTCTGTTGTAAATATTTTTGTTTTTCTAATAGGAGATGTAATTTCTGCTGTAATGCCTTCAGTGGTTGTTCTTATGGATGTTGATGGAAGTGCAAAAATTGTCGATATTTCTGTAGTTACTGGTTTGATTCGTGTTGTAGTTATACTAGTGGTTTCTGTAGTGGCCCATTTGGATATTGGTGGACGTACGGGAACTGCTACTATTTCGGTTGTCAACGGTTTCAATGGTGATGTAACAATTGCAA